AGGGGGGGATATGATCGAGGTCTATAAAATCATGACTGGTATGGAGAAAGAAAATAAGGAACTGTTATTTACTCCTTCTCATAACACAAGAACTAGGGGTCACCAAATGAAATTAATAGGCAGCAGGTTTAAAACAAACGAAGTATTTTTTTACACAATGCATAGTTAACCTGTGGAACTCCTTACCAAAGGATGTTGTGAAGGCCAAGACTATAACAGGGTTCAAAAGAGAACTAGATAAATTCATGGAGGATAGGTCCATCAATGGCTACTGGCAGGGATGGTGTCCCTAGCCTCTGTTTGCCAGAAGCTGGGAATGGGTGACAGAGGATGGATCACTTGATGATTACCTGTTCTGTTCATTCCCTCTGGAGCACCTGGGATTGGCCACTGTCAGAAGCCAGGGTACTGGGCTAGATGGACCTTTGGTCTCACCCAATATGGCCATTCTTATGTTCTAGTTGGTTACCAGACAACAGTCAGCTTAGAATTCACAAGTAAATCTAATGTTTGATGGCTGTTTGATCTGGATAGTATATACTAAAGTACTGAATTATTTTTTATTACCTAATCTTAATATTAGACCAATGACCAAAATTCAGAAGGCCAAGTGTTATACCCTTGTGAAAGGTTGTCTCCCAATTTGTAAACAGTGGCCCAGCTGCTGAGGTCTTTGATCCAGTCCAAACATCCTCTTCCCGTGGATAGTTATTGCATTTACCCCAAATTTGTGCATCTTCGAGAGTGGGCAGCATTCCTCTGCCCCCTCGCCCCCCTCTCCCCCCCCCCGCTTCGTTCCCACCTCTCCTGTGGAAGAAGCGGGGAGTCCAGTGTACAAAAACGTACATTTTCCAACATCCACTGGGGGTACAAGGTGTTCTCTTCAGGGTTGGCTTTCCAAGACAAGGGCTTGCACCAATTCAGAGTGACCCTCTGTTGCTTTTGCTAGCTTTCCTGGCAGTGCAGCTGCAATAGAAGCTTGGAAAGTGCTTGCTTTCCTTGAAGTGCTGCTGCCAAAGGGAACAATCTAAACATTGGTCCACACTGTGCCTTTACTCAGCTTCTTCATGCTTGTAATCTCCTCTGCGGATCCACTGGTGCAGGTAGATGCAGGTAGTGCCACAGAGGCTTTATTGTTAACCCCCTTGTGTCAAAAGTAGCATGCACTGTGTACATGGGTCTACTCAGTTCAAACTGGCTCTATTCTCACACTGGCTTCCAGTTTATTTAAAGATTAATTGCATGTGGTGTTAAAATTATTTATTTGTATTACAACAGTGGTTTTAGAGGTCTCATCTGAGATTGTACAGTACCTAGCACAACTGGGGCCCAAATACCTGAGAGACAGTCCAAAGAGCTTACAGTGTACATTAGGATGGGAAATAGAGGCACAGATAGGAAACGTGACTTACCCAAGATCACAAATCTGGTCACTAGCAGAGCTGGGAACAGAATCTAGGTTTCCTGAGTCCCTGGCCAGTTCCCTATCCACTGGACAATGCTGCCTCTCCATATTTATGTGATTTACAAATGCAAATAAAACAGCACAAAATAAAATGAATTTTAAATTATTTTCAGCATTTCTGGTGCTGGAATACTTTTGTTTCTTGTGTATCTCTTCACAGAGTAGTAATATAAAGAAAATGTGCTACATTCTATAAATCAAATGGCCCTTAGAACAATGAATTTAGCAATAAATATATTTATAGTTTTACCATATTAAATCAAAGTTTGTATTCATTTATCATCTTCAAGTAACTAAAGTCTGTTCCCAATGTGAAATGAGCATATTTTTTATTCCATGCCTTTTATTCATCTTTCTACAAGTGTTTTCTTCTACTGTTTACTGAAAGAACGGTAAAATGTCATTTATGAACATTTTTATTGTTTCAGAATCAAAATTATAATGAAGATACAATATTCACGTAAAATGTATCATCCAGGAAAAAAAATCAGTGTAAAATCAGCCAAAAACTTCTTGGAGGGGAGAAGAGAAAGCAAAAATATGTGTATGTATATCCTGAACATATAATAAATTAATAAATGTTGCTTTAAATACTATAGGGGATCATGGTTAAATATTCAAAGTTGTGGACACATTTCATTAATAATTAGGTAAAACAGATAATCCTTAATAGCCTTATTTTTATACTTCCATAGCTAGGATATTTTTTCACCATCTTAATAATAGAAAATCCCCATTGCATATGAACTTTACATAAGCTATATTTAGCTCAAAAAAGAAACCAAGAGCAATTAATTTAGATCATATCAGCAGTAATTTTGTTTGTCTAGACCAGTTGGCTTTTGATCTACCAGGCACTAGAAAAACTTTTTTCATTAAATATATTATGTAAAATAAATTAATGTGCTAACTAGAACTATTTCCTGCTTCCCTCCCATGCCCACTCTCCTGCCTCAAAATACAAAAGCAAACCAGTAGGAGGGACTGGTGGTGATGGGATCAGTGGTTCCATGTCGCCTATAAAGGTGTGATCCTGCAGTCTTTATGTTGGTGAAATGAGTTGTAATGGTCTGAGTTCAATTTTTAGTGGATAGCTTTTCTCAAAGAACATTATCACAATGGTGCCTTTGTCAGTGTCAGCAGAAGGATTGAACATTCATGAAGACTGAATTATTTTCTGACTCCCAAAGGTGGTCCCTCCAGAAATGGGTGGAAACATTAATGTGATAACTTATACTGCCAGTGTCATTGCTATGCTAGTTTTGAAGAAAAACAGAACTTCAGTCTTATGTACATCAGTGTACACCTTTAACACAAGCACTACATTAACTATAGTAATATAGCAATCTTTTTAATATTAATTTTTATTTACATCATATGCATTTCAAAATATAACATCCCAGAAAAGTTTCAAACCTTAAAAAAAAACCAAAATCAGTGGTTTTAAATACCACTACAAATCTCATTAATAACATTTACCATGTTTCAAAATTCACTCTGTAAGTAAAGGCCTGTATACTATATGTAGATAGTTTTGTAATACTGTGAACTTTTACAAGGATTATTATTAATTTACTGTATGTTGTTATAACACTCAAAGTAAATGTTTACTGTGAAATAGGCACTATAAACTGCCCTTATAATGAGAAAGATGTCACATACAGCATCACTTATCTACAAGATTTTGTGCCACTTAATAGCATGGGTGAACCTTATATACAGATGATAAAAATGTGATTAATAATTTTAAAATGAATCAGTAATTTGAAATTAAAAAATCACTACCCATAGAGGGGCATATACACACAAAAGTGCCAACTCCAAGTCAGGAAAACAAGCTATTGGGTCCTTACACAGGGCTGGAACTAGGAGTATGGGAGATGCTGCCACACCCCCAACTTGAAGTGGTTTCTATTATATACAGGATTTACAGGTTGGTACAATGGCTCTCAGCACCCCCACTATAAAAATTATTCCAGCACCCCTGAATCCTTGGTAGAAAAAGAAAAGGAGATAAACAATTCCCAGTTACAGACATAAAAAACAAACAAGCAATGGGTAGCTGGTTCACACTGTGGGGCAGAGTCTAGCTAGCATGATTTTTATATTTAAAACTATCCCCTGGGTCTGGGAGTTTAGATGATCCAAAGTCCATTGAAGTAAAGTGAGAGTCTTTTCATTGACTTCAATGGGCCTTGGATCATGCCCCATCCTAGGCAGCAGAGTTAAAAGGGTAATCTGACCAAAACTGGGGATGAATCTGCCTTTTCTGTGTTTGGCTCCATTGGAGGAGTGTGGCAAGAGTTGAGCTGTTATCCCATACTTTTTGCTGTAAAATTTCTGCTTTAGGGTTTGGTGTTAAAATCCAAGCGCACATAGCTCTTATATTCTGCACTGCTGCTGATCCCTAGTATAATAGGATTTAATTAATACATATGACGTACTGAGTTAAAACTATCTACATGAAATAAAATTGTTTTCCAATTCGGACTGTTTTGGAAATATATATACTCCATCATACAAGATACCCTAAGTTGGGTTTCTAAGTTTTCATAAAAAATAGATTCTTATCTAAAAAGAGAGATTTTATTCAACAATGATCACTGCCTTCTCCACTGCACAAATATACAATGTAAGGGCTTGTCTACACGAAGAAGTTAATTTGGATCAAGGTAGGGTGTGAATATAGAGCATAACTGCTATTGCTAACTGCCTGTGGGGAGCTCTTATTCTGGAATAAGGTTTTTCAAAATTCCAAATAAATTTAATCCACTTCCAGAGTAGGTTAAACTAAACAGTAGCAAAGAACTCTTACTCTTCTGGTGTAAGAGCATCCACACAAGCAGTTAATCAGGAATAGGTGGCCCTGTAGATAAGCCCTAATTAAATCTAGTTTTACTTAAGAAAGTGAAAAAAGAAAAAGATTATAGTGATGTAGCCTCCAGGCTCAAATTCACCTCGCTCCTTCTCCAAGAGTGTGTTAATTCTCCGTTAGTGGCAACTGCCTGGCTCACAAATGCGGAATTACAAGACTGAGGCCATAGAAAACTAGGAGGTTGAAAGAACGAGGAGTACTTGTGGCTGAGGACACCAGGCCCGTGCCGTGAGCCTCCGCACCGAGGACTGTCTCATTTGTCGGGGATCTTTGTCACGGGTTTGCCGGGCACGGAGTTGCTTTACAGAAGAGGCGCGCGCCCCGGTACAACCCCGCCCGGCCTGACATTCTAGGCGCGGAGCAGCCCCGAACCGCCAACGCCTTTTTTACCCGACTACCACGTGCCCGAGGGTTTGCGAGATCGGGGCCTTCCGCGCCTACCGCTGTGCCGTCAGCCTGGCTGCGCAGCGCCGCACGAGGCAGCGATCTCCCACCCTGCCCCCGCCCCCTGGCTGTGGCTGCCCCTCGCGCCGTTCCCTCCCGCCCCGCCCATGCCGACTGTTCGCGCAGCGCGTTTGGCCCCCGCGGGGCGCCGTAGGCGGTGTGACGTATGGCCCTGGGTTCCCCATTGGCGGATTCAATAGTCGCGGGCTACTTGAACGGTGGGAGCGGAGCGGGCTGGAGGAGCTGCCCGTAGCGCGAATCCCCTTTCTCCCGGGCACCCCAGCGGCGCGGCGCCTCTATCCCCCGGGAGCGGCCGCGGAGCCGGGTGCCCGTCGAGCTCCGACCCCCGTGCACGCGGCCGCCGAGCCGCGCAGGAGCCACCCGCCGCTGGGACGATGCTGACGGGCGCCGCTGACCTGGAGCAGGAGAACCAGGAGAATGTACCCCCCGGCGGCAAAGCGCGGCCGCCCGCCGCCGCCTCCGGGGCCCGCCCGGTGCTGGCGCTGCTGCGGGGCAACCAGCGCCGCCCGACCCAGCAGCAGGCAAGGCGGGCGCTGCACGGTGGGGCTGCCGGGCGGGGGCGCTACGGGCCGGGGCTCTGGTGGCGGCTGTACTCGCGTCGTCCTTACCGCGTCTAGTGACGGGCGGGCGCGTCTGCACCAGGGCGCTGCAGCGACCGGGACCGGCGCCTGTGTTTGGACCCCGACTCTCGCACCCCGCAGTGTGAACAGCCGCCCGGCATCCGCCATCTTAGGGCCGCGCTTCCTTCTGCTGCGCCCCTCGGAGCAATGATCGGGGCCGGGCCGGGGGCAGCGAGCTGTCAGCAGCCGGCCGGGGGAGCTGGCTCCTGCTGGGCTGGGGATGCGGGGCTCGGCTGGGGTGGGCGGGGAGCCTAGACAGCAACGCGCCAGCATTGCCGAGAGACGGGCAGTCTCCGCGGCTCCTGTCTAGGCTGAGCACCTGGGAGCGCGGGCCGGGCACATGGCGGTGGCTCTCCTCTAGCAGGAGAGAGAGGGCGGACTGCTCAGGCACGACGTGACTAGCTCGGAATAGTGCCGGGGCCTCCATGGACAGCCCTAAATCGCGATGCAAACCACCAGGCGTTAGGGTGCAATGGAAATGTGGCGCGTGTGTGCTGCCTTGAGCTCTGGAGCCCTGTTGGTTGGAAGGAGGGCTCCATGGAAACACTAATGGCAAACTCTTATTCTAGGCTGCTCTTGCTCACGCACCCTGGAGTATTAATGATGAAAACTATGGCAAAGTTCCAGCTGGGAAAGCTGGTAACAAACAGCCTGCTTTTGCCATCCATATGGATGAGCCTGATGGGGAGAGACGAAAGAGACAAGTGGTTCCTAAAAAGGCTGTGTCCCATGAAGAGGTCCTAGGCTTAAATACTGCTGTAACGTCATTAGGAGACAGAAAACCCTTAGCACCCCTAGACAATCCAATGGATCTTAGTTTTGGTAAGTATGTTAGTTACTAACAGAAAATGGTGGTGTATAAAGCATAGATTCTGTCTTTGAAATTGACATGCCCAGTTCAGTACTGGGCTCTCATATAGGCTACTTTATACAATACTACATCAGTTTAACTAGGTGCTACATAAATTTAATTGGAGTTGAAAGTGAACAGACTACAGAGTTGTAAAACATGCAGTATTGTAGCAAGAATACTAGACTTGCATCTCTTGACAATTCCCAATGCATTTGTCAGTTCTAAACAGCAGTGGTTCTCAACCTATTTACTATCCTGGGCTGCATATGCAGCTCTCCATGTGAAATGTGGGCCACATCTATCCACACTATATATACTACCTGTATGACCCCGATGATGTCACATGGGCTGCAGCTATGTCCTGAATGGGTTGGGGGTTGAGAACCACTACCAGTGTTGACTCTCTGGGGGTGGGAGAGCACTAACTCACCCTCATTTAAAGCCTCCTCCTCTTCCCCCTCCCTCCCCAAGGGGAGGATCCACTAGACCCAGGTGTCAAAAGATTACAGGGACAACAAATGAAAAAACAGGGACCAGGAGTGAGGATTACAGGTTCAAAAGCAGGGATCCAGAGGGAGACACTGACCAGAGAACCTCAGACAATACCCACTGCACCTTATATGCATTTGTCTGTAGCTGAGCCAGAATGTATTCACTTGGTTTTTCTGAAGTGAAAATTTTTCCCACTATGCTTCTGTACTGAATCACTGCCTGTGGTACCAGGTCAGTGAAACTAAACTTGCAAAATCCTAGCAGAAACTGGATGCAAGTATCTTTAAATCACACTTCCAATCTCAACCTCAATTGGATTATCAAAAGTAATTTATCACAAACAAGAATTCTCAATTTGATTGTGGGAAGACCAGACTATTCTAGATCTTAGATCAGAGCAGTACCCACGGGGAAGCATCAGTCTTTGCTGTGATCTTTCCATAAGTAATGGAACAATATCCTCTTCCTATAAAGGTCCAGTTTGAGTGATTTAGGGTTGCTTAGAAGACCTCCCAAATCTAGAGGCTATTGGAGAGGACATAGATTGAGTTGGTAGGTGGCTAATCCCTGAAACTGCTCTATTTCTTCCTGATACTTCCTCCCTGTGCATTACCAAAGCTATTTTCAGTCAACCACTCTGCTTTGCCCACTAACTGCCGTATTTGTGTGTGTCCTTACCCTTCTTAGTCCCACTGTCAGTCATGAGCGACTGATCTGTTTGAGCCCTGCCACCTTGTAACTTATTGGAGGGGGTTATGGATTGCAGGGAGACACAAACCACTCTAGAGCTTTGCTCCTGGCTACAGTCTTGGAGGCTAAACGGAAAAGGAGCAGAGTATTTAACTCCAGGCAGGGTCTCTGCAGAGACTGGAATGCTCTTAGCTCAGAGGGTACTGATAGGGTGGTACCTCTAGCTCCTGCTGTCTCCAGGTGTGAATACCGGAGCTCCAAACTCAATTTGAAAGTAAGTGCTTCAAAATGCTTGAATTCATTGGGAGGGTGGGGGGGTGAGTGGGGCCTCTACTACAGAGGGATGTGGAGGTCAGGGGTTACTGCAAAGGAAAGTGTGGGGCAACACAAATACTGCTGCTATGTTGCAGTCTTGCTACATTCTATATCGACTCCTTGATGTGTATGCACAGGTATATCACAACATGCCATGTATTAAAAACATAACTGACACTGACTGAATCTAACAAGACTAATACTTAATTCTATGGTTCCCTTTTTACATTGCTGTCTAAAACATCTAATCCAATTTCCAGAACTAGAATCGACAATGTAATTCCTTAATCCCCCTCTGTCCAAGTATTAAATGGGTCTAGATTGGGTCAACTTACATAACTTATATGGTAGCCTGCTGCTTTGTGGATTCCTAAAATAATGACAATGGGACATTAACTACAGTGTGTCTAACATTCTCTACATGTAAATACATCTGTGGAAGGACCATATCAGTAGCCTAGTTCTGTAGCTCTGGCAACTACTTAATCCCCATTGTGAAAATCTACCTCCATTTTAGACCAACCTCTAAACTCACTAATCAAAGGCTTCAGCTTACTCTAAATCAGCACAGAACTTGAATTTTTACTTTAACATGGTAACACAAAGTGACTTCTTCTGATTTGTCAGGCTAGAGACACCCTTTGCACTTCATGTTTGCCATTGAGCTCCCTTTCCCTTGGAACAGTTGATAAAGGATTCCTGAAGAACAAATGTGTCTAGTTCCCAGTGACTAGAATGAAGTATGATAAAACTGCAAACTGATGACTTTCTGGTCTCCCTGGACTGCTGCAGCCTCGGTGGCTCAAATGCATAAGAAACTAAACTAACACTGGGTGTCAATCATTAGACTCTCTTGTAAATGTGTGGGCTGACAATTCTACAAACTTAAATTAATGTGGCTACTATCTTGAATTTTTTTTAGATTCTCCAAGTATTATGGATATATCAGTAACTCAAGAAGTGGAAGAAAAAGTAAATGTTAACCAGGTGCCAGACTACATTGAAGACATCTATACATACCTTAGGGAAATGGAGGTAAGAGGCCATAAATATGCCCTTAGAACTAGAAGTGTTTGGTCTAATTTCTGGACAGAACATAGTAATTCTTATGCAGTGTTAAAGCTAGTACGGTGACAGAATTAGCAATTTATAGGTTGAGAGAGGACACTAGACCAGGGGTCGGCAATCTTTCAGAAGTGGTGTGCCAAGCCTTCATTTATTCACTCTAATTTAAGGTTTCGTGTGCCAGTAATACATTTTAACGTTTTTAGAAGGTCTTTCTATAAGTCTATAAAATGTTTTTTTTTTTTTATATATATATGTGTGTGTGTGTGTGTGTGTGTGTGTGTGTGTGTGTATATATAATAAAAAACAATAGTTGTATAAAGTAAACAACACTTTTAAAATGTTTAAGAATTTTATTTAAAACTCAATTAAAATGCAGAGCCCCCCAGACCGGTGGCCACAACCCGGGCACTGCAAGTGCCACTGAAAATCAGCTTGCATGCCGCCTTTGGCATGTGTGCCATAGGTTGCCTACCCCTGCACTAGACTGTGGAATCATTTCCTGATGAAACTGCTGAACCCTTATCAAATTATACTAAAACTGGCTAGATAATCCACTGAACACAAAATAGAGAACAAGCCCATACTGGCTGGACAATGGACTTGGTGACCTAAGACCTTTAATATCTAAACTAGATTCTACTTTAGATGTAGTACGTGTGTTTAACCAACTCCTGGATTCTTATCTGTGGTGGATTTTTGGTCAGTAAGAATAAGAACGGTCACACCAATGGTCCATCTAGCCCAGTATCTGACAGTGGCCAATACCAGGTGCTTCAGAGGGAATGAACAGAACAGATAATCAAGTGATCCATTCCCAGCTTCTGGCAAACAGAGGCTAGGGAACAGCCTCTTCTCTGCAAGATTCAAATACTAATTAAATCTCTTATGTACATAAATCACAACTGTCTTAACAGGTGAAATGCAAGCCTAAAGTGGGTTACATGAAGAAGCAGCCTGATATAACAAACAATATGCGAGCTATTCTTGTGGACTGGCTGGTGGAAGTTGGAGAAGAATATAAATTACAGAATGAAACTCTGCACTTAGCTGTAAACTACATTGATAGATTTCTTTCCTCAATGTCTGTGCTGAGAGGGAAGCTTCAGCTTGTGGGGACTGCAGCTATGTTGCTAGCATCGTAAGTTTAAACTAGCATCCATTGCTTTTCAACTTCTAGAACTTGACAACCTTTCCTGTAGGTGTCCAGAGGGAAAATTTGGGGGCTGTATTTTCTTTTTCCTCGTCTGTAGAAAAGAACTGGGGATGGTGGCACAACTTAGTGAATCCTTCTTTTTCCAAGAAGACTCAAGAGGCCTAGATTCACATCTGGCATCCTCATATGTGCTTTTAATAAAAAACCCTGACATTTGCAAGCCATGAAATGTGGCTTCTGTCAGTTATCTGAGCTCATGTAACTAGCACTCTAAAATCTATACTCAAAGGCTTTTTAAAAGCCTTTGTCTCAGGGTACATATGGCCAATGAGAACATGGAAAGATAACTGTATTCAAATTTGAACACAACTCAATTTGAGATTCCTGGATCTACAGTAACTAGGGAGTACTAGTTTTGGTACTAAAAAAATCACATTACTATCAATAGTGTACTGGGAAGAATTGCTTAAAGTTTTCAGTATAACATCTAGATCTCTAAAGCCATACAAAATGACTTAATGTAGCAACAGAGTTTCTAGGGAGGTACAGTTCTCTGCCATCTCTCCAACTGCAGTCAGATTTGGCAAACATGATGATTCTACTAAACACTGAGACTGATGGACATGCTCTTTACCTGTAGCTGCCAGCTTACTGTTTCTTTCAAACTGCAGGAAGTTTGAAGAAATCTACCCTCCTGAAGTAGCAGAATTTGTTTACATCACAGATGATACCTACACCAAGAAACAAGTCCTAAGGATGGAGCACTTAGTGTTGAAAGTCTTGTCATTTGACTTGGCAGCTCCAACAATAAACCAGTTCCTCACTCAGTACTTCCTACACCAGCAGACTAATGTTAAAGTGGAACATTTATCAATGGTAAGTATGGATTTGGAGTTAACAGACCTTTCTGGATGCATTAGGCTCAGTACTTGTGGAGCTTGCAGGCTTGCTGTCATTCCCCACTGGAGAAGAGGGGATGTGCCAATTGTAATTTTTTTGAAGAACTGAAATTTTAGAACTGGCAGGCTGAGAACAGCAGCTTTGCTTCCCTGCCTGGTTTCTAGAGGTTGCAGCTGGCACTCTATTCTAGTGGTGAGCCTGCAGCACTCTAGTGCTCACTATAGTGAGAATTGGCCATAAAAGATGGCCTTTCATGCCTGTCACAATGAGAATTCAAATACTGGTTCAGCCTTGGTTGAGGGGGACATAAATTCAATGGATGAACTACAGTAAACTAAAATGTAAAGCTTATTACATGATCTCAGGAAGACTTACTATGGTCTTTGTAAACATGTGGTGGTCTCTACAGCACTGACTCCTTCAGGCTCATTGTAGACCAGGAGTGGGCAAACTTTTTGGCCCAAGGGCCACATCTGGGTGGGGAAATTGCATGCAGAGCCATGAATGTAGGGCTTGGGGTGGGGTGCAGGAAGGGGTTCAGGGTGCAGGTTCCAGCCTGGCACTGCTTACCTGGAGCAGCTGTAGTGGGGCTACGGTGGGCTCCCCGCCTGCCCTGGCCCTGCATCACGCTGCTCTGGAAGCATCCGGCACCATGTCCCCATGGCCGCGGGAGGGGCTCAGTGCACTGCCCTCACCTGCAGGCACTGCCCCCCCACAGCTCCCATTGGCCACGGTTCCCTGTTCCCAGCCAATGGGAGTTGCAGGGGGTGGTGCCTAGGGGCAGGGCAGTGCATGGAGCCCTCTGCTGCCCCCTCCTCTTCTCCTCCTTCCCCCTCCCCCCAATCCCTAATCAGTATGTGGTGCTGGCCACTTCCAGGAGCGGCACAGGGCCTGCAGTGCCCTGGATGTGGCAGTCCCGTGGGCTGGATCCAAAGCCCTGATGGGTTGGATCCAGCCCCCGTCCTGTAGTTTGACCACCCCGGTCTTCACCAATATTTCACTAAATCCTAGCTGAGATGAAAAGGACACTGTTCTGATGTAAAACTAAACTCTCCCTTGGGACATAGGCAGCAACTATAGAAATAGTCAAAATATTTTGAAATATATGAAGTGGAATAACATGGGCACCAGAGTATAGAACCAAATACTTTTTTGGATCTGAGTCTTTCCTTTGAATATTAAGAGCTATATTTATATTGCTGCAAAAATTGGATGCTTGTCTTTTTGTGTCTGGAGAGCTCTAAATTCTTAAACACTGTATTGAAGGCTAGTTAACATAAGTGTTGGTGTACACTTTAACTAATAAGGAAGATGCTAAGACTGTAACCATCTTGTACTGGTGATAGCTTCTAATCATTTGGCAATGACTTTCTTTACAGTATCTGGGGGAGCTGAGTTTAATTGATGCTGACCCATACTTGAAATACTTGCCATCACTTATTGCTGCTGCAGCATTTCATCTAGCAAGCTATACAATCACTGGACAAACCTGGGTATGTAGAACAAGTAGCTTTAGAAAAGTCTCACTTAATTATAAGTAAAGAGCCTTAAATACAGCAAACTGCAACATTCTGTATGAGCTGTTCTTAATAGAAATTATGGATTGCCAGCCAAGAATAGGTTTTGATCTTGTATGGGGTTGAGGGTGTGCTTAGTCTAATTTTAATTGTCCTTAGTCAGAACTCAGTAATGGTTTCTACACCAGCCCTCTGGCTAGATTCCAAAATCAGCAAGCTTCTAACAGTGGGTGACCCCTAGAGGAGTACCTTACAGAATATGGGGGGGGTGTGTCCCTCCCCTCCCCCCCAAAAAAAAGACCTCTTAGTGCTATCTCCAGTACTCTCCTCCTAAAGACTGTCTCTTGCAGGGACACTTACTTTCTTTACTGAAACAGTATTTTAGTTCTTTTGCCTTAACTACTTGGAAGCACAGAGGAAAGGACCACTACTGGAAGAACAAACGGCTATGTCTTAGGGCTGGTCTATACTTACCGGGTAGTTCGACAGCTGGGGATCGAAGTTCCGGGTTCGATTTATCGCGTCTGGTCTGGACGCGATAAATCGAACCAGGAAGTGTTCGCCATCGACTGTGGTACTCCAGCTCAACGAGAGGAGTACCGCGGAGTTGACGGGGAGCCTGCCTGCCGCGTGTGGACCGCGTCTGAACCGCGGTAAGTTCGAAGTAAGGTATGTCGAATTCAGCTACGTTATTCACGTAGCTGAATTTGCGTACCTTACTTCGACTTGGGGGGTAAGTGTAGACCAAGCCTCAGAGCCTAGCACAGTTGAGATGATGAACAGGATGTTTTTGTCTGATAGGTAGTTATAGATCAGCAGGTATGGGTATACAGTGGAAGATTACATGCAGCTAAAGCTTCTTTGGCAGTTCCAGCTTGATATTTTCACTTTTGTAAAGTGCATTGGCATAACACTAATAGCTACTTTGCCGAGGAATCATGCATTCTGCTAGTACCCTTTCTACCTGCAGGTGGAGACATGGAATACCCATTGTCTAGAATAGCATTAAGTATAGCTTTGTCTTGTATTCAAAGTACAGAAACTCCTAACATTATGTTCCTGAAAAATGTGACTTTAAGCAAATCCAATTTCCCCATAAGAATTAATTTAAAGGGGGCGGGGAGGTTCCAGGGAGATTGAGTAGGTTTCAGGGAAATATTTTTTTTTCACCAAACTATATATTGTATAGATATAAACAAACATACTGTGTGTTAAACAATTTTAATACTGTTCACAGCTATGATTGTGAAGCTTGGTTGAGGTGGTGAAATTAGAGGGTGGAAGAAGGAGGGATATTTCCCAGGGAATATCTTGTTGCTAAATGATGAACTAGCACTCGGCTGAGCCCTCAAGGGTTAAAATATTAATGTAGCCTCTCCTGCAAGGCAGCACGAAGACATGGGAGGGGAGATAGCATAGCAGACAGACCCACACCTTTGTGTGGGGGGGGGGGGGGGGGGGAGGGATGCACACTTCCTCTTTTTAAGTAAGCTGACCCACTCTTAAGTTCCTGATTGACTTAAAAAGACAACGCACTTGGGGCAGCAGCTGCTGCCCCAAGCTCTCTGTTTGTCTATGTCCCTTCCCTGCTCTATATGGAGAAGGGGTAAGCGGGCTGCAGGAGCAGGGGGGAGGGGGGATACCCTGACATTAGCCCCTCCTGCACAGCAAGCAGGAGTCTCTGGGAGCAGCTCCAAGGCAGAGGGCAGGAGCAGCACATGGGGGGGGACAGCTGAACTACCTTGATAGCTTGCTGGGTGGCTGCAGCACAGGGAACTTAAGGGGGCTGCTGGTCCACCCTGGTTACAAGCCCCCACCAGCTAGCTGCAACAGGCTGCTCTTCCTGCAAGCAGTGGACAAAGCAGGAGGCTACCAAACGACTTAAAAGGGAGCATTGCACAACTTTAAACGAGCATGTTCCCTAATGATCAGCAATGTAACAACGTTAACCGGGATGACTTTAAGTGAGGAGTTACTGTATTGGAAAACTGCTGCAAAGTAACTGATGGAAAATATGGCATATTAATCTGACCAATTTATTTTCCCTTTCCTCAGCCTGAATCCCTGTCCAAAATGACAGGATATACCCTTGAAAGCCTTAAGCCTTGTCTCATGGACCTCCATAAGACCTACCTCAGAGCAGCACAACACACACAACAGTCTATAAGAGAGAAATACAAGAGTACAAAGTAAGTACCCACTTCTGTGGGTAAACTCCAATACATTCCTCTAATTTAAGCTAAGCAGGCTAGCTAGCCTACTCTGTTAGAGGAGCCCACTGAAGGTTGTCAGCACACTCAATATTGGAAGTCTCCTCTTCCTTGCTTTTTTTGATTCAGGCATGACTCCTGTCACTGATTTGGCCACTGTCTGCTCATAATATATGAGCTAATAACCACAACAGATGTGGTGTCTTGACTTGCAACTCAAGATGTAGTCTCAGTCCAGAAATGGAGACTGATTGCAGGAATTGCTTAGTGAAGTTCAATAGCCTGTTAAAGAGGTGACCACTATGTCCCTTCTAGCCCTAAAAATCTAAGTACAAAATAAGGAGTTTTAAACCTATTAAGTGTTTGATTTAACATGTTCTGACCCATGGCAGACAGATGCTAGCTTACAAACGGTTAATGCTATATTCAGTCTTTAATATAATATAATCCCTTTAGCAGAGATTGTTCTAACATGACATCTGACACCCTTTTCTCCTTCAGGTACCATGGAGTATCACTCATTGATCCACCAGAGACACTAAATTTATCATAACAATCAAGAGACTCTTAAATGTGTATTATACTTGCAAGCAAATGATGTACAGTTTTAACTCTGGTCAATATTTTAGATGTCTTACAATCATTTCAGTGGTAACTTGAAATTATGAAGTTTGTTAGTTTTTATATGGTTTTAATGTAAATCTTTTTGTACATGCAATCTTGTTCTAAATATTTAGCTGGAGCTCTTTTATAAAGCTGTTCTGTTCAAATATTGAATTAACCATGAAGGTGAACTGTTAATGTTTGTTCCAAAACTACTAGAATGTCCAATTAAGGAGCAGTACATTAAAATGGACTTTTTTTTATCTTTTTGGAGTGACTGAAAGGCAAAGTGGTAAATCCAGTTATGCTGAACAAATTACAAACTTGACAACTATTTGTGGCAATATAAGATGCTACTAAGGTTTAGTTTCACTTGAGTTTAGATCAAATCTTTGGCTTTAACTGTCATACCGCTAGAACTGATTTGATTTAACTCTTATATAAAAAATTAACCACTTGGGAGAAATTGAACTGACTTTAGTAGCTTGCAGGAATTAAATTCGGACTTCTTTCAAAAGCAGGCTTTCTAATTTAGTGCTCAAACTATCATTAAGTAGTAGTCTCTGAAGCAGCCATCTGATAGCTAGAATGCTGAAGTGTCCTTGTGTGAACAGAAATAGACTAGAAAATTGCTATAAGAGGCCAAGTGTACAACTGATACTAGTAAGTTCATGCAGCATTTTTACTAAAACTTTGGTTTCTCTAAAAGCTTCCTTGTAGTTAAACCTTAGTACAGCTCTACCTCCCCACTGCCACCATCCTGCTAGGAAAGCAAACTACAGCAGGGAAAGTGGCCACTAGTACTACACCCTCCACTGAGGGAGAGAATAATAAAGCTGACCACCACAGCGTGAAGGCATGCCATGGATGGGTTATAGCTAGAGTGAGACTGAATTCAGAACAGCCCATTTGGGCAGGCTTTTATGCAGCATGTAGTGGAAATCTTATGTCAGTGTCAGGTTTTAATGGGTCTTCTGCTTAAGTTGTAGCACTCTCTGCTAAGGTGGTAGTCAAACTTTTTACCACTAAATCAAACTGACCCTTCTCCTCCTGTAAACTTGTATTACCACTGCTCAAGATTTACTGTGCTTAAAGTGTAAAGCAGGAACAGGGTTTAAAAGGAAATCATCTGCAAGTTTGTCAAATAAACCTCCTGTACTGAAGCTGATGCCAGTGGTCTTGCTTATCTTGACCTGCATTGATCACTGAAGCTGACTTGTAACCAGTGTGATATCAATGATTCTAATACAAAAGTGGGACTGCTTTTTCCATAAAGCAGGACTTGACTGTTTCTAAACTTAACCTAAGACACCAAGAAATAAATTCATCTTCCTAGTTAAGCTAACTAATAGGAGTGAAAGCAAATTCTTTTTAATCTAACATGGCATCTTACCTTGTTAAGCTGTAGCTTAACTCTGCTATCTAATCCAAACCTGACAACTGCCCCATGGGATAGCTTGACACTGATTATATTCACTCTCATTTCAATTTTTTTTTAAATATGGAACAGCCAGCTTCCTATATCAAGCAAAACCATTCTCTTCAACCCTATTAGTCTAACTAAGCAGGCTTGGCCATGAGATGCATTTTAGTTTTTTGAAAGACAGCTAGGAAGCTACTTAGGAGGCCTGCTCCTAGGCTTGACTGAATCACCTGATTAAGATAGGGGTTAAGGAAAGCAGAAGTGGAGGGTAGGCTTGGTGCCATGAATTTCCTGTTGCCTCCCTGTGCATGCTTGACTATTCCTCCGCTGGGCCTATGGAAAGGGGGAAACCATAGCCTAAAGTACGGGAGGATCATATTAATGACCCTCCAAAGATTAACAGGCTAAAGTCTCTGCCACAAGTTTAGAAAAAAGTCAATCTACATGTGGGGCATGTGTGTACATACTATCAAGTTCCAGCAGCATACATCCTAATTACTGTATCACCACCAGCCTTAACTTTCATATGATGTTTTTGAAATGCTCTAAACCATGCTCATTTTATATCCTCATTATCCTTGGTTTAATAGTCTTTGGCTCAGGGTTCCTGTGTGCCTTGAGCTAACAACTGTGAGAATAGATAACTCTCTTGGACTGAAAGAAATGAGTGGTATTATTCCTTGCTAAAGATGCCCAATCTGATTGTGTGTGTGTGTGTGTGTGTGTGTATGTATGTATAGAGGAAAGTGGTACAGCCTCTTTAAAAAAAATAAATAAAAAAAAATTTTGGGGGGGGGGGGGTGCACATTAGTGGTAGGATACAGGTAACCTTAAAGCTTATCCTACATCAAAAGCAGAGTTTAACAATCTTGTCCTTTTAGAAGAAATGTCACTGTATGAATGTCTGCTTCCTGTTATACTGCTTCTGCAGGTAACAAAACTGCAGCACTACCATTGCACTCACTGTTACAGGGTACTGACAAACCCCTCTGCTCGTGTGAGTGGACACCTACCCTAAGCCTCTTGTCAAGATTGACGAATCTCTAATATTAGAGAGCACAGCTCTGTTCATGGTATCTTTCTTCCTGATTTACTTCATAGTCTGATTTCTATTATCCCTTGCCCTTTTCCCTTAAAGCCCTAAGATTTCCCTGTAAAATTCCCAGCATCTTCTCTCCCTTACCTCAGCTATAATGCACACAAGGCTGCATTATTAGGCCAAACCTTTCCCTAAGGCACAAGCAGATTATATGGTACAGCAAACAGCAGTTTGTTTTGTATAGCCTTTCTCCCAGGTCCAGTTGTATGTTTTTCCTCAACAGAAAAGGTCAACACCAATGTAGCCTAGAGGTTGGAAAAGTGATGGGACAAGATCCCTGCAAGGAGAATTCTAGATAGCTGTAAACATGAAATACCCTATCTTTCTGCTGTGTAAAGTTTATGAACCACTGCAATATATATTTACAATAGTGCCCTACATTGACTTAAGTGAAAAATTCACCTGCAGCACTTATAAAACACTGCATTTGGACTCATTCATATTTACACTAGCCAATTCTTCCCCATTTAAAAAATAATCTGACACTGCACCTAAACATAGTGGTGTTTCCTTTTAAGAAGAAGATTATTCACTAAGAGGCATGTAAAGAGCTCTGGCAAGAAGCACTTTTTGCAAAGTTTTAAAGTTACAGGGGCAAAATTAAATCTTTTCTCAGTTTTACTATATAACTTATGAACACATGAAATAAGGTGTACATTATTTCTACTCTTGTATGTATTTTCCTGTTTGTCTATTTCATCTTCCTTCTAAACTGCCTAATGAAGCAGTTGAGATTAACTTGTCTAATGCTACTATGTAGATCCTTTTTCCTGTTTCTTCCTACTTTGTCTCAGAAAGTCCTAGTGTTATAGGATAGTTCTTTTTAGACTTGCAGTTTAAATATTCCTTAATTTTCATGAAACATGGTTAAACTGAAATTTGTTTAAAAATAAACATTAACAAAGACTATAGGCTCTCTCTTAATTGCTTACCATTTATAGGGGAGGAATTTTTTTAGTCCAAGATGCTTGAATCACATTCTTGGTAAAGAAGACAAAGGAGCTACTTTGTCTACAACACTCATCTCTTGCAGACATGAGGCCTGATCCACTCACAATAATTCCACTACCAGTAATTCTGTTGATGTAAAGAGGTACTGGATGAAGGCTATGCTTAGATTGAACACAAATCAAACCATGCCAAATCAGAACCTGAATACTTAGAAATGTAGATTTCCACTGCCTTAAATGAAGTTAAAAGGCTTTGAGAAGATGCTCTTACTAGATGGAAGTGTTAATATTTACAGCTGTTTTTACTGCAATTTGAGAGTTTGCTTACATATTTAGTTACCACCCTATTATACCTCCTACTCAAATGGTGACACTTGTGAATGTTTAATTTATTGCAAGACAATGTACAGTATTATATAAAAAAATATACAGAGAAGTAGACCTGAGTTTCAGAAATGGGGGGGGAGGGAGAGAAGGAAAACTGATCTACAAAAATACATTCAGTAGCTTAATATACAGAGTAAGTGTCTCATTTTAGTATTAATCTATATAATTATTATGAAGGGAACATGACTAATGAGTAGCTCTCTTCTTTTTTCTTTTTTTGTTAAATGCTTTCTTACTTGAAGAATTTTCCTGTTTGGCACTGGTGTGAGTTCTGTGAACAAACAACATTTTAACCTAAAATAAGGCAGCATAATAAAAGACTAAGTGGCTAGATTGATGTTCCCTGCAAGTCAAGCCACAAGTCAAAGGTTTTCAAGATCTCAGCTCTGTACATGACCCACCTACCACAACCCAATCATGTTTTACTTGTAACAGGGTTTAAAGAAAACTAAGGGAAATCCCCATCCAAACTGCAAACAACCTCAGCAACACAAATCCACATTTAACAGACAAGTCATAGTAGACTACCTTTCTAGATACCATAACTTTTATTAGCAGTGAGTTGCATGGTTCTTATAAAGAAGGGACTAAATCTGTGTTAAAAATAATACAAGCTCCTGTTGCATTAGTAGTTAGAGCTGGGAAATATGGACTCTATCCTATTCACTGGGCAGAATCCACTGTAGTACACCTGAGGAGCAGGGTGGGTGGCTCTAATCCACCCTTTTGCTAACCCCGGGTAACAGAACATCCAAATATCTGATTTAAATTGCACCAGCTGGAGCAGTCCCATCAGCACTGCTTTATCAGGTGTTAATTAGCCCAAACACCGGATGCTTTGGCCTCAACCCATATGCAGAGGGAGGCATAGATGGCATAGAGTTGAACCTGCTGATTCAGGGCAGAGACTGTCTTTTTATTCAGTTTGTACAATAGCTAGGACAATGGGCTCCTGGTTCATGACAAGGACTCATAGGCACTACAGTAATACAAAAAAATTACACTACCCATAGATTCCCCAACATTAAGAGAATCCTTGGCTGCTCTCTTAGGCAGTACAAAGAACCCAAAACAGGCTGAGGATCTGGCCCCATTATCTGAAGGCTTGCATTATTTTGAGGAATGTTTTCCTTGACAAGCGTAGACACAAGGAAGCATACCGTACTTGCCGAAACTATTCCTTGTCTCAACACGGTATGCTGTTTTAAAGATCCCCCCCCTTAACTACATAGTTTTGGTTACCGTGTTTTCTTCTGTCTCTCCTCTGATTCCAGAATGACAACTTCCTCCTCTTCGCTGTCAGACAGTACAATTGTGTCATCATCTTACAAACAAAAGAGAAAGCTGTTATTTATATTACTGTGGAACCTGAGTGTTGTTTTGTACATCACATTTCTTTGAGTATAAGTCATTACTACACACCTAGAGACATTTTAAAGCAGGAGGACCTGTTTTTGTAACTCTAGTATGCAACTTACTCAAGGGCCAGAATCACCCTTTGAGCACAATAACTTTAAAACAACTGATACTTTATTTTAGCTGTTATAAACTGAACACTTTTAGAAGAGTGGCTGAGTTTGTTTTAGTATCCTGCTGCCTCTGCCACATCTCTCAACAGTAGGTATAGGACAGAGCACCAAGACCATTCTCATCGGTTTGTCTTGTATTTTGTTTTGATTAGATACTGCCATAATGGCAACAGGCACAAAACAAAGGTCTTTCCCCAAAAGCACCTTTCTTTGTTACCCTCTGGTCCCTACTAATTCCTCAGTGTAGGGTTTCCCTCTTGTAAAAACTCCACCCTCTACTCCCAGCATGTCTTTCTGGGATTGGATATTTAAATTTGGCAGATTTAAGCCATAACAGCTCTAAAGTCATTTTGCAGATGGTAGCTGCATCTTCCTGCTGGCAAGTACCTGTGGTTTCCCTTTCTTACTGTTGAGGAGAGGACACAGCTTCAAATACACCAGAATCAATACACGAACAGTGTTTTCAGTAACATCACATTTAAAGCAGATACTAACCCTTCTTAGTTTTGCTCACAACATTTATCTCTTCTGTTTCCATTTTCTGACTTTCTGAGGTGGTAGCATCATCACTGTTACCTTCCTCCTCTCTCTCAGATTCTTCAAGGTCTCCCCAGGAGTTCTCTAGTCCCTCCCCAATTTGGGCCGTCCCAGGCATCCGTAGTATTGGTTTGGCAAAACTGAACTAATTAAGAAAAATTCAGGAATTGCCAGAATTCTTATTTGTACTCATTGTACAGCATGTTGAACTAGATAAATTATTTGGAAAGTTTAAGTACCAACATACATATATAATCTGTGGTGAGTACCAAGGGCTGAGCACGTGATGTGAAGAAATTCATCTGAGCAAAATGGAAGTCAATGTTCTCTTGAATGGCTGACAAAGTAAAAATGCCTAACGTATACACAATGAATGAGACAACTGATCACCTTCACATCACAGCCCCACATTGCCATGTAGAAGATAGCTGGGTTCATCTTTTGCTGCCTGTACTGCAGAACTCGTCTCCCCTAGAAGGGCCCCACATTGCCGTTCAGTGATTCCTCTTTTCTATATCCATGGAATAGAAATTAATAACGCCGTATGGAGCTGCACTGAACCCTCCTTAGCTGAAGGATTCAGAGGCATTAGGGGACTAATGGAAAAGGGAGGCAGAGAAAGATTCTGGTAGAAAACCCACACACTCCTGATCAACATGCTATACTATGAATTCCTCTACCCAGATACACTTTCTATAAATAAAACACGATCTAGATGATCATAATGTAGTCTTATAACCTTCAAAGAAATGAGAAACTCAAGATGTATTGGGTGATTCAGAAAGCTTTAACTGTGAGATATCACTGTCTTCTCACAAAAGTGATATAGTAGAAAAGATACACATCTGAAGGAGGGTCAGCCTTGGTGATGATTTCTTCAGCTTGTTCTTCCACATCATTAGTATCAACAGGAGCTCTTTCCATTTTAAAGGCAGAGATCTTTTGATTTGGTATAGACTCTGCAAAGCCAAACTTTCCACCTTCTTTTCTATTTATTAAATAAATACAAAAATTATATTTCAAGACATTTCACATTATAAAAAGTCAAGTTAAAGAGTTCAGCTATATACAGAGATGCTGTTGTAAATAACAACACTAAAAAAACAGGTTAGCTGTTTAAACTGTTAAGTCAGTAGTTCTCAAACTTTTGTACTGGTGACCCCTTTCACATAGCAAGCCTCTGAGTGTGACCCCCCCTTATAAATTAAAAACACTTTTTAATGTATTTAACATCATTCTAAATGCTGGAGGTAATAACTTCATGACCCGAGGGGTCCCGACCCCCAGTTTGAGAATCCCTGTGTTAAATGAAACAATACAACAAATTTGTTCCTGATTTAGGAGATCAGGGACAGAACCTTTGAACTGAGAAGGCCAAGTTTTCCCTAGTTGTGGTCTGAGTCACCTGAGAACAGCAATCCTTTTTTGAATGTGGCTGTTTTATTAGTATCATGCCACCTTCTTTAGGCAGCTAAGCTTTTCTTTTTCCAACTTTATTCTCTCCCCTCCTCCCCAAGGTTTCCCATGGTAGTCATTTTGCATCACACAGCGAATACTATTGGCTTGAGCGTGTCAATACAACCATCTCTTCACAGAAAACAGAACTATTAGCTGAGTCTGAATATAACACCACTTATTGAAGATCATCAGCTGCACAGCTTCTCTTTCAGAGACTCCTCTCACAGGAAAACAGTACAAGAATAATCTGACCCCACAAAAGGTTAGTATTAACTTCCAATACATTGCATTTTAATAACCTCACCTAACTTTCCGGTCATTCTCCAAGGCCTTTTGAATTAGCTCTGTGATCTCTGCTACTTTAACACCAGTTATTTTACTGCATCTCAGAACCTGTAGTGAATAATAGTTTATTATCATGCAATTAAAATAAACATAACTTTGTACTTAAATTAAGTGAAAACATGTACTTTTTTTTGTACTGCTAGATCAGGGGTGGCCAACCTGAGCCTGAGATGGAGCCAGAATTTACCAATGTACATTGCCAAAGAGCCACAGTAATACGTCAGCAGCCCCTCCATCAGCTTCCCCTACGCGCCTCCCCCTTCCTCCCGATCAGCTGTTTCGTGGCAGGCAGGAGGTTTGCAGGTGGTGGGGGGAGGTGCGAGGACACAGCAGGCTCAGGGGAGGGGGTAGAGTGGGAGCAAGGCCTGTGGCAGAGCCAGGAGTTGAGCAGTGAGCACCCCCTGGCACACTGGAAAGTTGGCGCCTGTAGCTCCAGCCCTGCAGTCGGTGCCTATACAAGGAGCCGCATATTGACTTCTGAAGAAGCCACAGGTTGGCCACCCCTGTGCTAGATGCTAATGCCCCATGAATGATGTCTCAGTCAGGAAGTTCAAATGGAAGCTTCCCCACAAACCTTTAGTTTAGAACTTGTTTGATAGAGGAAATATGCTTTACACCTAGTTAGTATTGTTTAACCTGAGCAGTCTGTCAGTATGTTATATATTGTATGCCCAGATCTATACTGAAACTACCAAATGTATTGATAATTACAAAAAGAGCTATGTGCCATCTTAAGAATGCAAAAGACTTCCAATATTATTATTGGCCTTAAGGAAAAAAAAAAAAAAAGTTTAGTTTCATTTCAGTTCAAAGTGACAAATATTTCAAGACTAGCTGCTACACAAATACCAACTGAGGAGCATTGGAATCTGGCAGCAATAAGTTATTTGTTATACTCAAGAAATAAGTTTATTTTTAGAAAGACTTAAAAAAACCACTTAGAAATGTTAATAGATTGCTCTCCCAATTACCTTAAACTTCAAGTAGTACAGAGTATGAGAGCAAACATTTGGTGTTTAGACCATCCCCACAAAGTACTGTCATATTTACATTTCCTATGGAATCAGACAGAGATACCATTCTTCTCTCACACCAAAACACTAGATGCCTTAATATAAATATTACAATACATCAAGAAGTTTATATCAGAGAGAATGACTAGTCAAAGAAAATGCCATTTACCTGATCTTTTAACAGCATAATCCCTCCACTGGACTGGATAGTACAAATCTCACGATGTTTATTCATGGCAATCACTAGGAGGCCATCCATTACACGTTCCTCTCGTTCACTGGGATCCACCAACAAATAGGTCCTGAAACCATTGTTGAGTAGGACACAATAGTTAAGGGTAACCTGCTTGCCTGAAACTTTAAGGGCAGGAGACAAATTACACAAACAAGCTTCATGGTTTTTGGGATGAGTATACCCAAAGAGACTGGTTTCAGAAGTGTACATTTCTATGAAAAGTCTATGGAAATTTCATGTTACACAGTGCAGCATGAAGAAGAACACCTCTTCTTCACATCTTCTCATTTCAGATAAAGCTAGTTCACTAGTGCATTTTGTTAACACGGCTATTTATGGAAACTTATGTTTTTATTCCAGTTCTGCAGAAACTGGTAGATGATTTAAGTCAGTGCCATAACAGAAACTTACCCTTGCTGGAAGAAGGCAAAACTGACACAGATAGGCATGTGATGGATACTCAAAGGGACAGGATCACGTTCCTCAGGGGTATACTAAAAATATAAATAGTCAAGGTGGCAATTTGTTACTTATCCAATTCCATATATAATTTATAAGAAAGTACTAAAGAAATTAGGTATTTCAGAAAAATCAAAAGTAAGAAAAGCCTAGTCATCTAAAAATTCAACAAGACTTGATTCTCTCTTTTTAAAATATTTCCTATTAATATTACCTATCTAGGTAACTATACTGCACCCCTTTTTGTGCTATTTGAGCCCTTCCAGTTTGGCTGAGAAGTGCTATAAAATGTCATCCTAATTTAATTTTTTAATGTTTACAGTCTCTCAAATTGAAAATCAATAACTGTATACTATACATATTGATAAAAACAAATGTATCTATTCCTATCCCTTGATATTAAGTTGCTCTACCTCTAAGACTTAACTTGTCTCTATTGACAGAGATCTATTTTATATAGAGCAGCAATGAAATTTTAATTTCAATAATCCCACCACTTTCACCTCATCCTACTCACCAAAGTTACTTCCTCTCCTTGCACAGATACATCTGGCCTACGGAAGTGACACAAAGCCACTATTGCTGCTATACTTGCAGCATCAATAATGTTTCCATCATGATTCAACAAATGCAGGTCCACACGAATTTGCCACACCTGAGGCGGGAAAAAAAACAACATGAAAATTCACAAAACTGTAGTACTGGTAACTTGTCTGGATTTTCCAACATCTTTTCAAAATAACTTTTTACTATTCATGCTGAATGCAAGTATAATTCAGTTCTTGATCATCAAAAATTACGATGAAAATTGAATAAATCCAAACAGAACCAGTATCTATTTTCAACACTATTAATTTGTGATAAAGAAAATAAAATTGAAGTATGATTTCAGCCCCGATCCTGTAAACAAGGGATTCTCAAACTTCATTGCACTGCGACCCCCTTCTGACAAGAAAAATTACTACATGATCCCATGAGAGGGGACTGAAGCCTGAGCCCCACCGCCCCAGGTGGTGGGGCCAATGCCAAAGCTCAACCCCCACTGCTCTGGGGGAGGAAGCAAAGCCAAAGGGCTTCAGCCCCAGGCAAGAGGCCTGTAACCTGAGCCTCGCTGCCCAGGGCTGAAGCCCTCAGGCTTAGGCCCTGGGGGTGGGGCTCGAGCTTCAACTCTGGCCCCAGACCCCAGCAAGTCCAAGCCAGCCCTGGTGGCCCCATTAAAAATGGGGTCGTGACCCACTTTGTAAACATTCATGCATATGATTAGCTTTAGCATGTACATAGCCCATTGACTTTAAAGGGACTATGCACAATCTTAAAGTTAAACACATCTATGTTTGCACTGCTGGAACTTTAGTCTTTTAAAATAAAATCAGGATTATTGGTCCTCAAAGACAGACTGACCTCTAAATGCAACATATTAATCCCCTAGTATTAAAGACCTTTTGATTTCATAGCGTTTTTCACACCTTTACACCAGCAACAACACAGAGAGATTCAGTGTCTATACATTTTGAGTTTCTTAGACATCTTTCTAGTAGTCGATTCAGTTTCACCAAAAGCTCAGATTGCCTGGAAAAAACCAAGAGATTGGGTACATTTTAGTTGTGAGTTATTAATAAGTCTGACAACTATGATACTGAATAGCTTTCCTTATACAGACGCTCCCCGGGTTACGCAAGTTCCGACTTATGCAAATTCGCACTTACGGGAAAAGTTCCATAAGCCAGAAATAGGATTTTCGAGTTGCAGAAATTTTTGCGTAACGTACAGGTATAAGTTTCCAATTTACACAAAATTCGAGTTACGTGAGGCTTTCCAGAACAGAACAATTGCGTAAGTCGGGGGGCATCTGTACCATCCTTGTTTGTAGTCACTGAAGAGACATACCTGCCAGGCTCAAAAGCTGGTGCAGCCATTGGGGAGAGCTCAAGATTAAAGAAAAGTATACCCTCTGTAGCTCGATTTAGCTTTGGGGAAACAAGTTCACATGAAACCTGTCCAAGGACTCTGCAAAAGAAACCCCCCCCAAAACCCCAAAAAGACTTCAGTATGGGTGACAAAAACAACTGTAACATGAAAGCAACTTGCACTTCAATTTTACTGCACATCTCCAGTTTATTACAGCTTCTTCATATATAGGACTTGATCATAGAGATAAAATGCCAGTCACTAACAGGGAATAAACAGGAGCTAGATGTTAGAACACAGGCTAGAAGTTCAAATTTCTGCGGTTTATTCCCAATTCTACTACTGTGGGAGCTTGAACAATTCACTTGTGTCTACTTCAGTTCCTCCAGCCTATAAAACAGAGATACCATCTACTTCATAAGGGTGTTGTGAGGCTCAATTTGAGATCCTTGGATGGGGGAATTAATGAATTGCCAACATCCAGGGTTAGGATATAAAAATCCGCTTATCTGTAGCTTTCCACGCTGTACCTATAAAAAACACCTCAAGGGAGACCAACCTCTATTTGTTTTCCTCAGCGCCATCCCCTCCCCCCATTCATCGCTACCGCCCTCCTGCAGGCTGCTGCGGTTAATCTGCACCCCGCGTGCACGAGCGCAATTGGGGCCGCTGCAGCAGGGACTCGCGTGAGCAGCGCGCGCTCCGGGAGGACGCGGCGGTTGTGGGGAGACAGACGGGCCGTTGACCGGGCGATCACTGCGGGTCCTGCCCCGCACGAGCCACACGGGGGGGACGGGACGGGGGTGTCTCCCCGCGGTACCTGGTCCACCCCAGCTCCACGATGCAGCAGCCGTAGTCGGCACCGAAGGAGATTCGCACGTTCCTGTAGTCGTAGCTCTGCCGCCCGTCCAAGCGCTGCAAAGCCGAGAGCAGAGTCACCACCCGCGCGGGACAGCCCCGGGTCCGACCCGGAGGGAGAGCTCGGTGAGAGATGGGGGCTCGCCCGGACCCCGCCCACGCTCCCATGGGAGGGGGCCTGGCCGGTGGCGGTGCTGTGGAGTGGGGGGGAAGGGGGGGTCTCGTACCTTTCTCTCCTCGATGGCGCGCAGCAGAAAGCGCCGCTCACAGTTGGACAGCGGCGTCTCCTTCATGCTGGCGGTGCCTCGCGATCTGGGGCCCCCTCCGCTCGCGCCTCTGAAACGTCATCAAGCGGAGTCGCTGTAGCCAGACAGTGCGCAGGCGCGGGGGTTGGACTCCTCCAGGCGCTGTGTCTCGTCACCGCCGAGGCGGGCGGGCGGCGCGCTGCCGCAGGGACAGGGAGCTGCTCGGGTGGGGCGGGGACCGGAATCCAAGCCCATAGAGCTGGTGATCGGGGGCAGCGTCCCGGCTCCCGTGCCAGTGGCGGGAGCGTGGCGCCAACGGAAATTCACAGGCTCCGTTCTACTGGCACAAAACCAAACACTCCTCCGAGGCCCCGCCCCCGCTCGCTCCATCCCCTGCTCCTCCCCACTCTCACTCGCTCATTTTAACCGGGCTGGCTCAGGGAGTTTGGGTGCAGGCGCCGTCTGGGGGTGCGGGCTCTGGGGTGGGTTCGGAAATGAGGTGTTCAGGGTGCAGGGGGAGGTTCTGGCCTGAGGCTGTGGGTTGGGGTGAGGGCTCTGGGCTGGGGCCAGGGATGAAGGGTTTGGGATGCTGGGGGGGTGGAGCCGTGGGGTTCAGAGTATGGGAGGGGGTTCTGGGCTAAGGCAGGGGTAGGGGTGCTGGGGGGCTGAGGGCTCTGGTGTGGGGCCAGGGATGAGGGATTTGGGGTGCAGCAACAGGAGGGGACTCTGGGCTGGGGCTGAGGGGTTTGGAGTGTTGGAGAGGGCTCTGGGCTGGAGCCAGGGATTGGGATGCAGGGGGATGAGGGGTTTGTCGAATGGGAGGGAGATCAGGGCTGGGGCAGGGGGTTGGGGTGCAGGAGGGGGTTGGGGTGCAGGCTCTGGGCGGCACTTACTTCAAGCAGCTCCGGGAAGCAGCGGGATGTCCCTTCTCCGGTTCCTATGTGGCGGCGTGGCCAGGCAGCTCTGCATGCTGCCCCGTCCGCAGGCACCACCCCTACAGCCATAGTTCCCAGCCAATGGTAGCTGCGGAACCAGCGCTTGCGGCGGGGGCAGCGTGCAGAGCCCCCTGGCTGCCCCTATACATAGGAGCCAGAGGGGGGACATGCCGCTGCTTCCAGGAGCAGCGCAGAGCCTGCCTTAGCCCCGCTGCACCGCCAACCGGACTTTTTAATGGCCCAGTCAGCAGTACTGACCAGAGCCGACAGGGTCCCTTTTTGACCGGGCGTTCTGGTTGAAAACTGGACACCTGGCAACCCTAAGTCTTCCTCACCTCACTGGCGTGCATCACGGGGCTGTGCGGCCTGGCAGGGGTCGCGGTTTCCGGAGTGGTCTGCCTGGCAGAAAGGTTCTGGGCTGAACTTTGGGTACCTCACGGTAGTTCTGCTTTGCTTCTCTTCAGCTGCTTGCCCCAAAGCCTGCAGAGCAGGGGTTGGGAGTTTGGATGCGAGCTGCTGCAGTCTCCCTGCCGTTTGAACCTGCATTGGCAGTGTAGCTTTGTCACGGTTAATGCCATTTGTTCATGTGGGACATCCTAACAGGTGTGTAAATCCGAGCCATGTAAATACAGGCAGTCCTCGGACTTACGACACAATTGGTTCCTTATAATTGCGTCAAGTCGTAATGTCGTAACTCAGAACCGCAATCTACTCCATTGCGGGATCGAGCGTCGTAAACTCGAAACCTATAGTCGTAAGTCGAAGCAGGGTGTCAATGTAGAAGCATTGTAAGTGCAGTTCATTGTAACTCGAACATCATAAAGTCGAGGACTGCGGCATGAAACCAGCAAGCTCAGCTGCACGTTGTATAGGACTATGGTCACCAGAGCTCTCTGTTCAGCACCATAGCCCAGAGTGAGCATCCTTACAGCACCTAGGACATGTCCTGTCTAGGGGTTTGATTAAGTGAAGCGACAGCTCTGATTACACATTTATCAGACTGGGCATGTCTATCAAATGTTAATATACAAAAAAACTTGGATAGGTGTGCTGGGTATTTTTGCATGTGAACATACTTTGTGTTGAATAAAAGGTAACCAAATATCTAGCTCTCTGTCTTCTGTCTATTTTGCAGGGTATGTATTTGGCGTGTGAATTTTTCCACAACTACCACCCTTGGTTTTTGAGCCATTCCTCTACAGTTGGACTGTTTTTTCTTTTTTGTCCAATGAGAGGCTAGCTATAGCCAAGCAGCTACACGGAGCTGAGAGATTTAATTTTTTATTTCCTTTTGTGTGACCATTTCTTCCAGGAAGCTCCAGGAGAATTAGCGAAGAATCATTTGGTAATAAATATCCAATTTGTGATTCTTGGTTATGGAGTACATCCCAATAATCTCTAATGACTGGACGTTTTCATCATATATGCATAAAATCTCTTTCACTACAATTTTTGTATCACTTATCCCCATTCAATGTATTTATATATTCTGTGGTTCGTGATTTGGGTTAAGATCTGGATTATTTGCTATGGGTGTCATGGCAAGGCAAAATAACTTATTTCTAGTTATATCCCAAACCCATAGAGTGGCCTTTGCAAAAGGATGTGTGTATGGTTTGGGCTGACTGGCTTGATTATACCATAGAATATTTGGAACAGCTACTCCACGCTGACTAATGGGTCTGTACAAATTATCTGTGCTTACTCTAGGTCTTTTCTTATTCCATATAAATTCTGACATCCTCTGTATTTGTGCTAGGGTTTTGTCTGGGATGATCACAGAAGGATTGAAACCAGAAAGATGTCCTTGGCAAAACTTTCATTTTGACTGTGACTGTTCTTCTCAATCAAGAAATGGCATACTTTCTCCAGCACTCCAGATTTTTTTTACATTTGCTGAAGTAGTGGATTGACATTTAAATCACAGAGCACTTATGTGTTGTTTGAGATTTGAATTCCCAGGTATCTTATAGGGTTTGCTGCTCATTTGTGCCCAATTTTTTTTCTGGAGGAATGACTTTTCAGAGTCTGGTAAATTTATAGCTAGCATTTCAGATTTGGCATATTTTCCTTTAAATCCAGGTGCTTTCCCAAAGTCTTGGATTTCTTTAGAAACTAATTTTAGGGAAATATTTAATTTAGATAAATATTACATCATCTGTATATAAAGCTGTTTTCTGATGTGCTCCTGGAAGTTTTAGTCCTACGATAGATATATTGTCCCTTAGCCTGTGAGCAAAAAGTTCTGGGGCCGGTGCAAAAAGTAGAGAGAGTACGGACATCCCTGCCTAGTCCCTCTGTGTAGTTCAAATGGGAGATTTAACTTCATAACTTCATACAGCTGCTTTTGTGTAAAGAGCAATTATCCTTTTAAGGGACTGGGGACCAATGTCCATATAGGGCAGGATTAGAAGTTTCACTATATTCTATCAGAGACTTTCTCTGCATCAAGTGATAAATTCATCTTTTTTTGGTTTGGCATTATGGATGATTCCAAGTATTCTCCAAATATTATTGGACATCTGTCTATCCTTAATGAATCCAGTTTGATCTGGATTTATATAAGCTGAGAGCATGGACTGCCATTGGCTCGCTAGTTTTTTGCTAAAATCTTTTTCATGATAAGGGCTGCAGGTTTGTCTTGGTGGGAAGCAATGTCATGGATACTGTGTTTTTCCTGTTTGTCCATTATGTGTTTTTGTGTCCATGATTTTAATAAACTCACCCTGCAGCAGCGGCTCCTGTCCTGTGGAGCTGGGCATGGCTCCCCGCTCTGGGTGTTGCAACTTGGTGCACATGGTCACAATGCCACTTAGGTTTGGCCCAGCCACCCTGCCATCGTGATGGGGAGGCAGCAGGGCAAAATATGAGTGAGTGGAGCTGTGACCCCATGGGCCAGCCCTGCGGGACAGGAGCCACTGCTTTGGGGTGAGCGTGGGACGGGCTCTCTTCATCCCCCCTTCTCCATCCCGAGTTCCCTTTATTTGTCATAGTATTTTTTTATTTTAAAAAATCACAAAATTTTACTAAATTTACTGTGACTGCTCTGTAATTTTTGATTAAAAAATGCTGTGACAAATCTGCAGCCCTAGTCATGGTTCAACAATGACATGGGCCTGTGAGAGCTGCACAACAAGATAATGTCTTTTCCTACTTCAGGGAGAACAGCCACTGCAACTTCTTTCATGAGTTGTAGAAATACCTCTCCTAACCAAATAGCATTGAAGGTGCCTCTCAAGGGACCCTCTTAAATACTTTGCAAAATTCAGCTGGAAAGCCATTAGGTCCTGGAGCTTTTCCACTTTTCATACTTGCTACAGTCTCTAAGATTTCTTCTTCTATTATTTATCAATTTTGTTTATCTTGGGCATTTCTGCTACCTCCAGATATTTTTGGATAACTTCAGAGCTTGGTGTATCTGAGATCCAGAGGTTTTTACAATAAACAGCAAAAATATGTATTTCATTAGGGTAAGAACACACCGTTTTTTGCAGTGGAGACATAACCTCAGTGGTAGCTGCCATCTCAGTGATGCTTCCCAGCAGGACCCCATTTAATAGTGCAAAGTAGGACTGAAATAATCATCTTTTCTGCTTGAACCCAGTGGAAATGATAGTTTCAGAGATCTATGTTTTAAAAGGTTTTGTTTATGATTTATCACAGCACCCACCACAAGGGGGCCCAGCCTCGTCATGGCCTCTTGGTACTACTCCACTACAAATAATGATACTTTAACTGTTGGCTGCACAACATCCAGCTGAAATTTGACCTTTTAGGGTTTACATGGAAGGCAACCATATGATATTAGAAGGGAAATGTCAATGGGAAGGATATAGATTGAGGATAAGCCATGGTACCCAGACCCTCTCCAGAAACAACATTAAATCCATGACAGTCAAAAGGAAAAATCAACTCAGTTGTAAACGAGTTGAGGTTGCCAGTGCCTGAAATAATTAGCCACCTCCCAGATAGTGCTAACCAGCTCTACCTCTTTCAAGTATAATCCTGCTCATCACCCATAAAATTGTCCATA